GACTCTTGGCTTGGGTGGCAAAACGTGCGCCGCGCATCAAGAGAGGAGCTGCCGAGCCCCCCAGGCTTCTGTGCGCCGTCGGTGCTCGCCAGCCCCACGATCCCGTCGCAAAGCAGCACCTGCACATGTGTGCACAAGTGTACGTTCAGATTCATGTACAAATCACATATGACGAGCTGGGGTTATGGCCGGCCGTGGCAACGTCCAGCACAATTTACGATTCCATTCAAAGACCATGCTCTGTAGGAGAGCTGAGATAGCAGAGACGGCACGGACACGAGAGTCTCGTGTCCAACATTGATTGAAGTCTAGTGGGTCTCGACTCTCACCTTGGGATGGGGCCCACACAGCGAGCAGCAGTCTCGGAGCCCGAGGCCGACCAGCTTAAAAAAGTCGAGGCTGGCCCTCCGCCACGTTTCCTTGCTCAAGACGGCCGCATCCGGCGACCGTTGAAAGGCCGCTTGATGCGTTGCCAGCTCCGCCTTGAAGCTGTGGCCGTGCTGCATGCCTCGCAAGAGCAGTTGCAAGCTCTCTTGGACGAAAAGGGTCCGCGAATTCCACGCGTACAGCCCCAGGTGCTCGCCGTCAAAGTGCACCGTGTGTGCCTCATCGAGGCACGAGCAGTGGTAGATCCGCACCCGCACCCGCTGGCTCCACTGGGAGGCCGTGACGTCCGCCTCGACCCATGCCTCTACCCACGAGCCGCCGCACGCTGGAGCATCCAAGGGGCAGGGCGCGCTCAGCAGCCCCTTCTTCGAAAGCTCTTGAAAGTGGCAATCCCTTAGCCGGCTGACATGGACGGGGCGATCGAGCGAAGTCACGAGCGGGTCGTGGACGGCGTGCGCGTCGCTTAGTCGCGCCAACCTGGGCCTCGAGACTTGGACGGCCTCCGTTGTCAGAAGCATGACGGGGGCGCGAACCCGCAAAGCCTCCCCGTGCTCGCATCGACCGCCGGCAGCCGCCAGCGAAGCCATCGAGCAGCTCGTGCACGCATCGACCCAGCCTCGAATCGCTTCTTTACTACCCCTCGCTTCCGTCGGCGGCCGAGCGTCCCACCCTGCTCTCGTTACTGGCTGCAAGCCTTGCTTGTGCGCCCTCCAGAAGGTCTTGTTCCGCCTTGCCCGTTTCCGAGGAGGCAACTCCTCAACCGACCCCCCCTCTCTTCCACGATCGCCCCCCTTGCTCCCCCGATCATCAGAGACGTGTGCGGCGGCCTCTCCAAAGAGTCGATTGTGCTGTCGACAGAAGCACGAGTCGCCACTGCACTTTGCCGGCTCGTGGGGCCGCTTCTCGAGCAGCTCAACGAGGTACCGCTCCTCCTCCGATAGCCCCGCATCACCTCCGGGCCCCTGCAAGGAGGTGCCCACGGCGGGGCAAACCCCAAGCTTTGGCAAGTCCCCCTCCCACCGCTCAAGCCAGCTCAGCGCCGCTATCGACAAGGGTTTCCGAGAGCCTCAAGATCAGCTGGTCGGCCATAGAAACGCCCCCCTCATCCAACCTTAGAGCCGCCTTAGCTGCCGAGACGTGCGAGCAGCCCACGAGGCTTGGGCACCCTTCGCGCTTGCCCTCGCAATACCAAG